CAACTCAGAATGTTAACAGTGAATTGTGACGGCCCGTTACGACCCGGTACGATTTAACCCAGCCTGTCCTTTAATTAACGAACAATGGCTTTATCAATTGTCCCGCTCTCGGTGGACCAAGTGGAACTTAAACCTCTCTCCCCTCTCTGTTTTAAGTTTCTCCCACCACACAAGCAGGCGCTTCAAACACACAAAGATATTCCAGACAAGAATCAACATTCCTTTGTGGCTTCGACGGGGAGTTTAAACTCCCCGAATGAAAGTCTTCTGTCTAACCCACTGCGCCACAACATCCTGCTTTTGTCACGGACTCTGCTGCTCTTTATGCTCTGTTACCTGCCCTGGGATTGGCCAAAACCTCCCATCATGGGGTACATTTTCAAAAACCTGAAAACAGCTGCATAAAGTCTCCACACATGAATTACAATATCCTGAAATGTTAGGATGGAATTTTTTGCCCATTTATACCAGAAACAAACTAAAAAGCTTTCTGCATTGGTAGATTTTTAATGCTGACCCTGTCCTAATGACACATCAGCTTTATCACTGATTTTATTGGCATTATTTGGCTACGACAAAGCTAAAGTGGTATAAATAGATTTTGCAAAACAAGGTAATAATACAGCCCTGACATAACAAAAATGCTGTTTTTTCAGATCAGCATTCATTAAGTTATCAAGCTATTAGGCAACTAAATGCAGCACTTTGTTCACTAGCTACCTGCCAACTTATAATGCGTCCCTGTGGTGCTGATAAATTACAAAAATACGATCCCAATTGGGAAAAATTGACAAGAATTTAGAAAGTTAGCCTACATTTTTGCACACAACTTGCCACATTGTTATTGTCATAGAGAGTGAAACACGGCAGACGAAGGTAAATGTTTAGTTAATGGTAAAAACAGGTAATTGTCGGTGCGAATTAATTGATTGCATGTTGATTTTAATGACCAAATTCTGATTTAGAAGCACGTTAAGTCACCACTGGAAGAAGGACGTAGGAAATGGGACCATCCAATGAGCACGAATGCTTAAATATTCTGTTTTTTTTGTTTGTTTTTTGAGTTTTTTAACTGTTACTTGATGTGTTAGATGCTAAAATCACTTTGGATTAACTGCAGCATTGACTATAACATTCTAAATCCCTTTTTAAAAAAATATAAAACTACCAACTCGTGCAGCTTGCAAGATTTTTCCATTGTCACACTCACATCTTTACAAACTCTCAACTTCCTTTCATGTCGTCGCTTTATCCATGTAGATGCAAATTTGTTCGGAGATACCAAAGGTTTGTTGTTCACGGTTAATCTCTCTCATTCAGGAGGGAGTGTTCGGCACATAAATGGCAGAGAAGCCTGATTTTGGAGATCTTTTTTTTTTTTTCAGGTTTGTCATCCTCCCACATGTTGAACCAGTTTTCTGTTTGTGAATGCGGTGTCCTCGCACGCTTGTCAGCCTTTGCCTCCGGGCTATTGTGGATACTGTAAAATGTCGGTGGATTAAATGAGAATGGTATGTTCTGCCGTTCAGCCACCTACACAAACTGTGGTCATTCAGCTCGAGACAAAACTGATTCTTTAGCTTCAGTGTTGCCGCGAGTTCACATTGATTCCATTTCACGATGGTCCGCGGATGCAATAATGATGTTCAGAGGAGGAAAAAGTGACAAATAGGCCAGAAATAGCACATTATACTCCTGATTCCTGACAATTCTCCAAGTTTTAGTCGACTGCCAGCAAGCTTCAGTTTTCGCTGGTAATATAAACACCTCAGGAAGGCTCCTCGGAGTGTATCAATGTGTCTGACGTGGGGATGAAGTTTAAGAGTAAGCACGAGCGTCTGAGGATTTGTTTTAACAGTTCAGTCAAACACATTTCACTTCATCTGAAGCGTGTGATTGCTGAATCGCTTCCATCTTCCGCGCTCATCTTCCGTCATTTATCCTCCCGTATTTGCTTCATTTCCACATTTTCCCCTTCTTGTTTGGAAGTAAGAGATCAAGGCTGCTCGGCGGTAAATCAAAAAAAAAAAAAATATTATCTTTTCTTCCCGTCATCCATTTTGTTGCAGCCCATCAGCCCTGCAAATGAATGTTATCTGACCTCAAAACATCGGACGCCAAAAGTGCTTGGATTGCAGAGAGAAGAAGTGAGGATAGTTTATCTGCAGCACTTGTGGGTTTTTTTTTTTCCCCCCAGAGGATGAGACCAAACCATGCATAAAGAAGGCCAGAGATATTCTCTGTGCAGTCGTCCTCTCAGATGAACACAAGCTTTAATCTCAGTAAACAGTGACATCTGCTGAAAATGCCACACTGTGGGGATGAGAGTGGATTTCTTCTCCCGCCTCAGAAGCGCAGGCCTTTGGCTCGGGGAAACATTGTCTTTGTGTCGTTGCCATTAATATGCTTTGTTGAGGTTTTACCGCTATTAATAGGAGCATTGTTTGTCGGATTCATTTGCATGCCAAATGTGACACTGTGTAGATAGATGTTTACCGCTTTTTCCTTAAAAGCATCCAAATTACACATTCAATGCGTTGTTTTATTCCCATTGTTTGCTGCATTATCTTCAATAGTTTGTGCCAATCTTATCGAAATCATTTTCTTCTCCTCTAATTTCCCTCAGGGGTTTGTTTAGCTTCTATCCAAGTTTTTCTTGCAATTATTCCGCACTTTGTAAAATCTTCCTAAAAACTAACTGATGCTTTATAAACAGCCCTCTGGCTAAAAGGAGAAGAAAAAAAGAGAAAACTTGCATGCATCAATTAGTTTTTTAACTTTGAGTCCGGAGCTCAGAGGTACATTTTTTAAGCAGTCCGATAAAACGGATGGGAGATCTCAGCCACACAGTTTACTGGTTGTATTTATCAGGCAAAAATATTGATATTCTCAGGTGGTTTTTTAATGAATGCAACAACAAAACAGCAGACAGTCTAACCTCACTAGTCATCTACATAACGGGATTATGCACATTTCTGAAGTGTTGGAAAGTTGATGAAAATGAGGGAAAAAGTTAGCAGGAGATGTGAACACCTTTTCGGAATAAGTTCAAATATTTAACTCACAAACTTTTCCTTTTTAACTACATGAAACATGGTCAATACCAGCTGGAATTAAAGAATATTTACAGCCTCTTTAGGACTTCTAGTCATTTTCGTCTTGTAGATGGGCAAAGTTTTGTTTGTTCTTTCATCTTCAAGGTTTTTTTTTCCAGCATTTCGCAAACAATTGGTTTTGTTTCAAGCTCCTTTTGGTGCAACACAACCACTACACAGCATATTTAGAACAAACTAGTCCGAGGAATCTAATTTGCATTGTTGGTTTTTCTTTGCAACATTTCAATTTTGCTTGACAATTATTTAAAAATGCAGCTACAAGGCTGGCAACAGGGAGATCTCACCATAATATATTCACTCTTAGGCGTTGCTTTGGGTAGAGTGGAGCTGATGGATGAATCCATGCGTTTGTCTTGGAGGCTAGTTTGGCTACTGAGTTATTTTCTAAGTCAAGAATGTCCATCGCCAAAGGGGCAGACGTCGTAAGGTCAGCTGTCATCCAGCTAAAGTTCCTGCCACTTCAACATAAGTTACATTCATCCCTTTGAGTCTCCAGGAGATGCAATGACAGGTTCGGACAGAAATCAAGAGCCAGCGCCTCGGTAGGAGGAATAAATGGGCGTGTGCGTTAATCACCAAGTGACTACAGCTGTGGCTGCAGCTGCCGATGCTGCAACACATCAGAATAACACTTCCATCGCCACACGAGGGTGGAATGTTGGAAAAAATGCATTTTATTGCTATTAAAATGCTTTAAACACAAGCTGGAAATGAGTTCTCTGGTACACGGGAATAAACAAGCTGGTCTTCAGCGGGCTCCAGCAGCCACCACTGCACGAGCATAGCCAAACCTAAAGTGTCAGCAACAATAAGAATCATGAAAGGGCACATGGGGGTCAACAGAATGCCTCTAATGTGGCTGAAACACAAGCCAGAAGCCATTTTAGAAAACTGTATGTTTGGTTGTCAGCATACAGACGAGTCATGTTCCATTTTCTCTGGGTCGCTCGGCAATATTGCTCTTTTCTTCTGATACGAATCTTCTTTCTTAGTTAGTCAGCTGGAATTAGTGTAATTCTATATACTGGAATTTTGCATCTCTAAACCTCTGAACCCCAAATAGTTTCTAGTTTCTTTTTTCTGCTTCTGTCACATTGCACCTGTTGTGCTGAGGAGTGCAGAGAAAAAGGTGTATTTTGTGAAATTTTTATCGAGACATGTGGACGAAAGTGATTTGGATGAAAAAAACACAATTTAAATTTAGATCTGGTTAATGTCAGAAAGTTCTGTCTCTCAAAAATGGTGCAATTTTGGAGATATTTTTAAAGATAACATGCCCTCCCACCCTGACAGCAAGTTTAGAAGTTCATAGATTTGTTGCTATATGTAAAAATATTGGCACTGTGCATTGTGTGAGTACGAGGCGGTTGTTGTTCGTCTATATATAATTATTCCACTCAAAATCTCCACCAATTATTACGTCTTCATCCTTTTCCAATATTCCGACAAGGCCAATAATAAAGAGATTTGCTTCTTTTGTCTGCTGATAGGCACCACAGTCACACCCTCCGTCTATTCTTCTGTTCTTTAAACTCTTGGCTGAGGACGGTTTGAGTGTCAATCATCAGCAGAAGTTTCAGAGCCACAGCGTTGTTGGTTTTAAAGATCTAAATACACCAGACCTTGGTAATTATTCTGTTTGTCAACTTTTTGAAGATATCAATTTTCCCTTTTATCAGATTTCACACAGACTTTAGAAAAGCAGCACTTAACACTTTCTTTAAGTCCACCCAGCGGTCTGCTTCATTGAGATATAAGCCCTCCCAAGAAAGCAGTGAGAAGTAAGCTGTTTCACTCCATTTAATCACAAATCCCTCTGCTTTCTTTTCCTTTTCCTCTCTCTCTCTCTTTCTCTCTATGTGCTTCTACTCCATCTATCTCCAGACAGCTGAGCGGCTCTTCTGGATTTCGCTGACGCTGCGCCTGGTCCCGCCTGGCCTCTTCTGAGCAGGATGGACACTCTGGAGTCAGAGCTGACCTGCCCAATCTGCCTGGAGCTCTTTGAAGACCCGCTGCTGCTCCCCTGCGCCCACAGCCTGTGCTTCGGCTGCGCCCACCGCATCCTCGTCTCCCACTGCACCACCAACGAATCCGTTCAGAGCATCGGCGCTTTCCAGTGCCCCACCTGTAGATATGTCATTTCCCTGAGTCCGGAGCGTGGACTAGAAGGACTTAAGAGAAACGTGACCTTGCAGAACATTATCGATAGAGTTCAGCGGGCTTCATCTTCAGCCGGGCTGCCTCTACCGCTGCCTGCCCCCCACAGCGGGCCCAACTCCCCCGGAGAGGAAGGGAGCAACCGGTTGGCGCTGGTCCCCGTCAGCGCCGCCATGTCCAGCCCTGGCACGCCTCCAGAGCCGGTCCAGTGCCAGTTCTGCGAGCAGGACCCGCCGCAGGACGCCGTTAAGACGTGCGTGACGTGCGAGGTGTCGTACTGCGAGGAGTGCCTCAGAGCCACTCACCCAAACAAGAAGCCGTTCACCGGGCACCGCCTCATCGAGCCGATGCCCGACTCCCACCTCAGAGGGCTCCAGTGCCTGGAGCACGAGGAGGAGAAGGTGAACATGTACTGTGTCACTGACGATCAGCTGATCTGCTCGTTGTGCAAACTGGTTGGAAGGCACAGGGACCACCAAGTGGCAGCACTGAGCGACCGCTATGAAAAACTCAGGGTAAGCACAGAAGAAGACTTTCTGTCCTTTTTCACGTGACGTCAGCGACTTTAATCGAGTGCATTTGCATTTGAAATCGGGTCCGTTTTAACAGAGATTTGGCTCATTTTAAAGACAGCTGAGGTTAGAGACCCTCTGTTCTTTATCTTACACATATAATGAAATTTTAACTTTTAATTTCATTCCGCTCTGAAGTATGAAATTTCCTATTATCCTTACCCAGGTATCTAATTCGATTATCAAGCGAGATTTTTATCATCTCATGCTGACTTATTATCTCTCCTGAATAATTAACCAATTAGCATAATCACTGCACCATGCCAGTGTGCCAGGAGGGTATTCGGAGGCATGCACGTGGAGTGAATATGGGGAGTGTCATTAGTGACGAGGCATGGTGTCTTCAATGAGGTTGCAGGTTAACGAGCTCCAATTGCCTGCCGGCTGTAGGTGTGCTTAATTGAGCATGGCTATTAGAGTGTGCTGGTAATGGCCACAGATGCAGTGTGTGTGTGTGTGTGTGTGTGTGTGTGTGTGTTGCAGCAGAGATCAAGCACAAATATATCTTGGAAAGTCCAGATGTGCTCTTATATTAATCTGCAATACAGTTGTGTAAGAAATGTTTGTTGTGACAAAGTCGCTGCATCAGATATTTGAGGAACAAATAAATCCCAGTTAATCTGAGTGATAAATTAATTAGCAAAGAATTCTGATTTCATTTAAAATTACTGCTCAATGATTGGCCCGACAAATTTCATTGGATTAAACACAGCAAACTTCCTCAAACTGCAGCCTAAATAAACTGTAACCTAATTAATTTTTTGAGATTAATTGCCTGTCTATGTGATGGAGCGACTTGTTCGCTGTCACTGATGTCAGTCCAGCTGCTCAGCTGGAAGAGACGTCCACAAATCCTGTCGCAGCAACTTTATCAGTCAGTGATTTGTCAATATTTACTGCCTCCTCTAAATGATGCACTTCATCACTTTAATTTGAATGTTATTGGAAGCATGTAAACTGAGTTCTGCTGCTTCTCGATGTCAGGAGTGTTTGCATTTGACAATCCTAGCATGAGCCCCTGGTAGCTAGCTGTATTGGACACCTTTATACTGCAGAGTTCAACAACACGAGCAGTCAGCAAACACACATGTAACTCCGTCTCATTAACCAGTAAGATGCTCCACTTGGTGGCACAAACTGGTACTGCAGCAAATCTACCATACATGTTCTGACTTTGAAACTGCATGTCACTAATCTTCTGCATTATCACTTTATATAATTTTCCTATCAAATGTAAAACATCATAAAAACACAGAACAAAAAGGCTCGACTCCATGAAAAAAGCACAAGTGAGCTCCCTCCCTGTCTCTATCACATCTTGATCTTTGCCTTCTTCCTGATTTCTTCCATGCAAATCTCCCAAGATGCACTAGTCCTGCACCTACACGTCTCCCTCTGTGGAGGCTGCAGCCAGCAGGAACCGGTGGTTGCTCTTGTGAGACAGACTCCACCGTCTTAAAGCATCCTGATGGACTTGATGTTTGCATGGAGGCCTGTGCAGGTCCAATTACTCGCAACCCTAACTCCAGCTTTAGCCAGTTTAGTCGGTTAAATCAAACCTTTAGCAAAAATTATCAACTGAAACTAACACATTTTATTGTGATACATTTTCATCCAGCCCTATACGATGAATGGAAACACATCCCTACTCCCAATTATCGATCCAACTCAACGAAAGTACTCCTCAGATCACTGCACACAGGATGTACACGACTTCACTAAGTCACAGTTTTACATTTGGGTGAACTGCTGTGTGTTTTCTGATGCCACAAATCCCACTGACTACTAGTTCTGTCCATGTAAAACTTTGAAAACAGCCCTCTGCTGTGAAATTCTGAAGACTCTGCTGTCCAGACAAGGTCAGACATCCATATGCACGGCCTGGAACAGACTTTCCATGATACAATTTTTATCCCCGAGTACAGTACAAGCTTACATTTTTAAAGAATCCTTAAAATTAATGTGAAACCGACAGGAGAGCCATTGTAAGATGCCTGGCACAGGGTAGTATGGACTTTTATATACCTTCCTCTAGCCTACACACAAAGTAAGAGTTTTATGTGCTGGTTAACTAACAAAAAAAAACATGCCGATTACCCCAAACATTAGTTACACATTATAGATTTTCTCCCAGAACAATAACTACGCCTGACTTTTCTAAGGAGACTCATTTACCCAGGGAACATTTTCAGCAAAACACGCTCACTCAGAAAGTGTTTATTTAGCCTCGCTAAGAGCCCTTAAATGAAATGCCACGGTGCGACTCCTACGAGAAACAGGTTTTTCCGTTTTGAACACATATTAAAGTGTGAAGCGGTTCGTAATACGCCTTCAGAGACGGGGCCATGCCTTCGCTGATAGAATGGAACAAACTGAACCTTCACCAAAATTCGGTGATTATATTTATTTATTTTCCATTCTGCAGTTTAATTTTTTTGGAAACTGTTCAAGCCTTCAATGCTGGGCTTTGTCATCCCAGTTGATGTGTGTCTCCAGCAAATTTAAGCAACAAAAAAAAAGAAGCTACAGGCCAGTGCATCATCTAATTATCATGATTCTCTCCCTCCATTCATCCGGAGAAAGACAGCACAGGTCAGTGCACCCAGCAGTTATTATACAAGCTAATTATCGGCTGGATAACACCAAAAAAAAATAAGCGATCGCAGGATTTCTGCTCTGAGTTGCTCACTTGCAAGCAAAGAACAAAGTCTTATAGCGTGCATAGCGTGTCACAGTGAGGATGTATGTTTGCGTACTACATGTGCTCTACATGTGTACTCCCGTCCCAGAAGAAACACTTAAAGCTCGCATGAGAGGCTGCACGTGAGGACCCAGGTGGAAGTAACGTGGGATTCACCGTCTCTTTAACTCTGTTTGAATTACAGTTAATTGCCTGAGGGCTCCATGCACACGCTCATCCCCTGGTGGCTGCTCTGTGGTTTGTACTGCCGAACATAGAAACCGGTCTTTGAAATAAAGAAGCTGGGGATCGACAACCTTGGGAGCCCGTCAAGATGAATTCAGAGGAAGATTATAGGTTTATTATGCTGCACTGTGTGAAATGATTCAAAAGTTTCGACCATTTTCCCCTCGTTTTAAGCCTCGATATACCAACATATGTCTGATAAATTACTATAAGAAACAACCATCATAGCCAAATGCTGACTATTACAGTTAATCGGCATGTTGCGTAAAGCTTAAAAGATACTTAACCTTCTACCTTCCAAACAGTCTCTGATCATTTTGTGCTCCTTTATTTGGTTTTTACTCACTATGGGATCATGTTTGGCTAAATGAGAAAGTCCTGCATCTCTATGGAAACAGCACAACCTTGGCTGGAAGAAGCGAAAAAAGTCTTTCGTGCAGTTGTAGGAAAAAAAAAAGAGGAAACATGCACAACAATCCTGAAAGGAAAAGGTGGCACGATACACTATAGCAAAATATTTCATCGTCTCATCTTGTATATTAAAATATTTAACATTTATTTGATCGTCAGTCATAAAAGTGTTTATTTCAGACGTATAAATTTTATTCCTGACTTTAAGATCATCGTGTTATTTTAGAAAGAGCCGGATTTAAGGTTATCGAGAGACATGCACTCGAGGGAATCTATTTAAAAGTGACAAAGTACCTCTGATCTCCCTCAAAGTGCTTTAAATCAGGACCAATATCAAACCATAACTCAGTAACTAGCTCCATCGATGAAGTCTTTATAGGTGAAATTACCTTTGACTATGACCCCCCCAGGATACCAATATTTAAAAAATAGGAGCGATGGAATAAAGCACATGTGACAGGAAATATTCTCCAGTTGGTAGGATTAATGTGAAGCCAGTCGGTGAAAGGCAAATATGTATTTTGACATTTACTCCTGACAGGACTTCTTGGTTAAGTGAACTTCTTGATGCAGTGCTCCTCTTAATATATAATCCTCCTGCTGTTAAACCTGAGTCGCTGCCGGGGAGGAGGCTGAGAGCAGATGGGAAAAACAAAGCACGTATGACCGCTTCATTAACTTCCGAGCTACTCTCTGTCTTCTCACACACACACACACCCGGGCATGCACCCACAAATACGAGACAATCCTTCTTCCTTAATCCGGTGATAGACGCAAGCAGCACTTCCTTTCTCACACACACTGATCTAATGCGACTTTTCGGCTGAAAGTTCGAGGCGGAGGCGACCACCTGTTTACTCCTCACGCCAGCCAGCCAGCTGGCACATGACGTGGGATTGATACAAACCACGAGATCAGACCCTGTTAGCTCTGATGTGACCTCCACAGACCCTCTGCAACAACATGAAAGAGGAGGATGCACTGTAATAAATACTTTTTTTTCTTTAACTGTACTTTTTGGAACAATTTACTGTTAACTTATATATTTACAGTGTTTTGTTAAACTACACATAATAACTAGTGAAATCAAAAAATATATATATTACCATGGCAACCGTAAAGCAAGCAAACAAACAAACAATAAAAAGCAGGTTAAAACTACAAATAATGTCCACATTACAAAAAAAACAACAACAGATAATTAGTTCTTTTCCCGCAGTCAGAAAAAAATGGGAACTACTTTTTTTCACTGTATTTAAATCAGGAAAAATATTGTTTTTTATAATATACATATGTCGGTTTTTTTTCACAGTTTTGTTTTTCAATTTTCGAAAGCATTATCCTGTATATTAAGAACTGAAAAATTATAAATAATTTTTAAAGTATTATTTCACAGATGTTCCATGTTTTGTTAAATTACAGATAATATCTTGTAAAAATCCCAGAAATAAGTATTAATTTATATGCTTACCATAAAAACAAACAAACAAAAAAATGCTAAAACTGCAAAAAAGTCCACATGAAATTTTAAAAAATAAATCTGAGAATGAAATTTAATCTTTTTTTGCAATTATATACTGTATATATACTGTACTATAAATATTTT